TTGGCCTGGTCTCAAAGTTCACCTCGTGCACGTGAGGGAAGGGATGGAAATGACCGAGCCCAGCCTGTGGAGCGCGTTTTATTCCGAGATAAAGATTGTTGCTTTTTACGCAATAAAGATCGGGATCGGGTTTCCGTGTTCAGTGCCTGGGGTTATCAGTTGGCAGCATCTGAGAGCAGCGGTGGGGAAGTCCCCGGCTTGGTTATCACAGATCTTTGTTAAGACAGGCTGAGCATGTTGGGGGCAAGACAGGAGAGGCTTGCTTGTATAGTGAGGAATGGCTAAAGCTGAGTTTTTAAATCTTTGCCCTGCATTTTGATGATGCAGAAGAGGCCTCCACCAACGCACAACCATCAAGAGGAGGCTACAGCTGATAGCCAGGGCCCTAGAAAGCATACACTGAGTGTGCCTTTGTATAAAAATTGCAATATGAGTTGAGGACTTACACAGTACGTATGCTTTTTGATACGATCTCCAATCGCACTGTCATCCTTAGTTTTTAGAGCGAGAGCTGATAAATCCCATCTAAACCAGCGTTTTACCTTGGCTTCTGCAAAGTCCATTGATGTGGGTTTCAGGTCTGCCAGGTGCTGCCTGATCCCTCCTGAGGGATGCCTGGCCCAGCTCCTGCTGCTCCTCGCTCCCTTTTGGCCAGAGCTGCTGCTGTTCAGGGTTATACGTGGGAGTAAATCGCAGAATGTGAATAATGATGGAAAAACATTTGTCGCCCCTTTAGCTCCCCGGAAGGCTTGCAGCCTTGTAGCCAAGCTCTTTGGGCCTCAGTTGTGCATTTCTCAACATTCCAGCAGGAGCTGATTTGTAGTGACAGCAGCAGGTGCTGCGATTTCCCACTGGAGAAGCTGAGCCTGTGTTTGGTTCCCCCCCTCTTTCTTCATTTTTATGGTGCTAAAATTAATCAGGAAGCCGGCGAACAGTTCCCTGTCTGCCATTACTTAGAAGACTTTTTATCTAAATAAAGTAGATTTTTTTTTTCAAAGGCGCTCAGGGATGTTGCACCAGGTTTCTGTTGAGATGTGGTGAAAACTGGAGGCTGTTTCATTAGGCTTTGTGTAAAAGCTTTTATTGCTCTGCTGCATCAGTAGCAAGCTTTGCTCTATCTTTTGCAAGATCTCTAGCATCTGGTTTCTCTGCACTGTTCTCCTGGTGTGAATTTTAGGGAGGTTTTCAAACCAAGGGCTCTTTGCCGACGTGCTTCCAAACCTGCTTTGTCATCCAGGTGGAAGTGGGGCACAGCCCACCGTGGTGAGTGACCCATGGGCACCATGTGTGCGAAAGATGAGCTTGGGACAGGAGGATGCTATACCCGGTGACGACAAGCGCTGGGTTTCTTGAGGATGTTTTATTTGTTCTACGAGTTAAATTACTTCATGAGAAAGATCCCTAGTGGCTTGGTAGCAATGAGCACTACAGAGCAAGGGCAGAGATGATGCTTGAGAGGCACTGTGAAGCGTGTGGGACTTGAGACCGGGCAGAACCGGGAGGGCACCATGTGCTGAGCAAAGCCCTGTCCGTGCTGACGATCATGTTAAGCCAACACTGCTTGTTTTCTCCACCTTATATTCTGCAGTTGACTAAGGGAGCAGGAATGAGGGGGATTTGCTATCAGCCTAAGAGATTACAGCTAGATTTCTTTTGAACTTGTTTGTGTCCCAGCAAACCCTACTTCAGCATTTATCCGACCAACGTGTGCTGCTGTTTACTATGCAAAACTGTCTTTATGAAATTATTTGCAAGATGACTTCAGTGGGATGGAAAATCTTCCTTCGGGCAGATGTTCCCATTGTTGTTGCTGTTTGTTTCTCTAATGTATGTGTTGTGCGTTCTTTGCGAGTAAATAAATGGCTTTGGCTTTCAGTGTTGCGAGGAAAACTAAGACATCTGTTTTGTGTTTGCCTTCTCAGCAAAAGGTACAAGAGGAGAGGAGTGGATGTGACCAGCAGAGGTTATCCTGAGCCTGCTGAGCTGCAAAGGCGGCGGCTTGAAGACTTCTCCTACCACCCTGGCTGATGGTAGGACAGTGTGCAGGGCAGCTGTGAGCAGCTTCTCACAGCAGGGATTTCTTTTCCTTGACCTTTTTGGACAGATAAGAGGAGGTGATTTGGGCTTGAGAAAGGTACCTTGTCTATGCAAAGTTATTTCTGAGGCACATAAAGGCTGGTGGTGCCCGTGTGTGGGGTAGGATGCTGCAGGAAATGGGGACTCCTGAGCTGTCTGCAAAAGGAGATGGGGGAACAAGGATGTTGGAGACCCTAAATTTTCTTATATAATGGTAAGGGAGTGGTGGCCTGTGCTACTCTGATGGCGAGCACGAGCAAGGTGGACAGTGGACTCTCCTCAAAATCCTGGAGGCTGGGGAGGTAGGTTGGAGCAGATGGGATGAGGTTTGCCCACCGCATCCTGCAGGTTGGTTCTTGGTAGCAAAAGAGCTGAAAACAGCAGTGCTTGTGTGGAAATGAGAGGCGGTGTTCAGCAGAGTGGGTTTATTTAGGGAAAGGGGCGAAGAACTTAGAGCGTGAGGACAGGTACTATAAATCAGGCAGGGTGGGATCAGTGCAGCAGGGTGAGGATGTGATGTGTCAGCTCTTCTTTGTCTGCACCTTGCCTCGGTCTCTGGACCTTGCACTGTTGGATAGCAAAAAGCACTAGTGAGCTTAAATGTGCATTAGAGATGCAGAAGGAGAGGAATTTTTGAAGCTCTTGAGTTTGGAAACCTGAAGCCAAGCATAAGCCAGTAAAGCCTGAATAGGTTCTATTACAGCAACAAAACCAGTAGTCTTTAATTTGTTCAGTAGGAGCATGAATATTTCAAGAGGTGAAAACTTAAATTTGCAAGTGAAAGCTTCATCCCTGCTAAAGGTCTTAGCTCAATGTGCAGTGCAGGACTGGCTTGAGACAAATTACATGGGATCCGCTTGCCTCTCTTCAAGCCCCAGTGCCTTAAACGCCCCAAATAGTCCTTTTTTATCCTTAAACCCTGGTTGCTCAGCAAATGACAAGCAAGGTCCTCTTGCGAATCTAAGCATAAGCTGGTACAGGTGGATCATGTGCTGTATTTGATGCTGTGGTTTGGATGTGAAAGGACAATTTTTGAAGCATTTGCTGCCTGTGGATTTCTGCAGGAATTGGAGGAAGCTGTGAACAGGCAGATCTATGAGAAAACAGGCATTGTATACCACTGATATTCCCCACTGAGTGCAAATTCAGGGCTAAAATATTTCTCTTATTTCAGTATGCGTGGTTTCTTTTTGGCTTTGTTCAGTTGTGTAACTGCTGAATATGGCCCATCATCTGCAAGTGAGCTGTTGTGCCTGCAGCAATGTCTTAGCTGCTTAATACAGCTGTAAAGTTGTGCAGCTTTTTATTAAACATAGACTGCTTAATTTTGTGCTTGAAATAACCCATTGGGCAGTTTAAAGGAATGCTTCTATAGGGGAATAACTCTTGATGCTATAAAAGAAAAGGGGGCAAGTGGGGAAGGATCACGGTAGTGGCTGAGTTGGTGGCCATTTAAAACCCCTGTGATATCCCAGCTCTACATACTAATTTTAAAGGTAGTAACACAAAAATTTGCAGCCTCAATAGCAGCTAGAAAGGCAGGACAGCTGCACTGTGCCCATCCAAATGAAAGCTGTAGGGTGCTGGAGGAGCACGGGCTTGCTGAGCCCCCCAGCGAGGCTCCGGGTGCTGTGCTGGGGAAAGTGGGGGCGAGGCCTGACGAACGGCTGTGGGGCTGGAAGTTTGCCCTGCTGTAGGTTTTGGTTCCACATCCTCTGCCGTGACAGCCAATGCCATACTAGAGTTTGTTTAGGCTATGGCCTTTGAGCTTTTCCAAGCTCTCCAACCAAATTCCTTTCACAAAGCCTAATAAAGTAGGGATAATAGGGCTACCAAGATGGTGAAGGGCCTACAGGGGGAGACGTATGAGGGGCGGCTGAGGTCACTCGGCCTGTTCAGCCTGGGAAAGAGGAGACTGAGGGGAGATCTCATCGTGGTCTACAGCTTCCTCATGAGGAGGAGTGGAGAGGCAGGTGCCGATCTGTTCTCTTTAGTGAGCAGCGATAGGACCCACGGGAATGGTGTCAAGCTGAGGCAGGGGAGGTTCGGGCTGGCATCAGGAAGAGGTTCTTCACTGAGAGGGTTGTCGTGCACTGGAACAGGCTCCCCAGGGATGTAGTCACAGCACCAAGCCTGTCAGAGTTTAAGAGTTTAAGAAGCATTTGGACTGTGTGCTTAGTCACAGGGTCTGAATTTTTGGGTAGACCTGTGTGGAGCCAGGAGTTGGACTCGATGATCCTTATGGGTCCCTTTCAACTCAGGATATTCTATACCCAGCTGTTTTTCTCATCCTGTTGGAAGTTAAAACCTTATCTCTTGTACCAGTCTGGGTCCTGCATCCCTCCCCATTGCTAATTAGTCATATCTGAGTAAATAAGCTGAAACCTCCCCCTGCGCTTTGGCACTCAGGAGCTCCTGGCCGCTATGTCCCAGAGGTGAGGCAGCTTTGTGCTGGGCAGAGACTGGTGGGGCCGGGGGCTGCTGGGCCCCTTGTCCCCAGCTGGGAGCTGGCAGAGCCCCTGTGTCCCCCTGGCTGTCAGCTGCATTCCTTCCTGTCAAATAGTGCGTTACCCTACGTGGTTCTCAGGTGGCTTTAATCACACGTGGACCAGAAACATCTAGTAATGCTAATGGTGAATCTGACATCTGGAAGTCCCTGGTTTGATTTTGCTGCCGTCAGTAGCTTCAGGTGCAGAAGGTCTGTGCTGGCTGTCGCATCTGGTTGCGGGTGCAATGAGGCTGGTTCTTCAAAGCTTCCACTGCTTTAAAGCTTCATGCCAGCGTGGGGATGTTGCTCGGGTTGGCTTCCTTTAGCTTCCACTTCTGGGCCAGTGGCTCAAAGAAGAAGGACATGGGCGAGATGAGAGCACAGGCTCCAGCAAAGAGGAAAGAGCAGGCATAGGTCTGCGTGTAGTCATACAGCCACCCTGCAGGAGGAAAGATCGTTAGTAAAGCTGTTGGATTTTCTCACTGAAAATCTTTTGTGAGGTGTGCGGGAAGTGAAGGACGTGTGTTCTCATTTCAGAATGCCTCCGATATTTTCTTTAGGTTACCTTAACTCTGCGTGCCCGTGGCTGTGCAGCACGGACAGCTGGTGCCTGATCAGGTAGGACAGTTGTGATAGGTGTAACTGGCAAACGTGTAGGATGTTCTTCCTGGGGCTGATGTTGCTGGACCCTTGTAGTGGAAGTTGATTTTAATCTGATGGAATTTAAATTCCCAACTTCTTCCTGTTTCAGTAAGTGGGCAAGTAGCAGCTGCTGCAGCAGACATTAGGTCTCACTGGTAATGAGATGACTCCTTTGCAATGTCTGCGCTGCAGTCTCCGGATTCCCCAGACCTGCTGCCTTGTGAGCAGACCCAATTTAACACAACCTGTCTAATATGAAAGATCCCAGACTAAGAGCAGGGAGTGAACTTGCTTAAAGGTAGCTTTGCCGGCACTTCAAAGGAAAACCTACATTCAGTAGAGACTCAGGTATCTGCAAGGGGGCAGACTGCCTTTTAAAAATGGCCTTTAAGTGTTTTGTTTGGTTACATCATATCATCTAGTATCTGGACATTCAATTTAAATGTGCATAATTCCTCTGTTTGCATCTAAAATATACAAAGCAATAGGAGTTGCTACTGTGTGTAATAAATTCTATAACGTACTCCCAAATCTAGCATGTGGATGCACAAGGTGGGTTAGCAGCAGAGTGACCAGCTGAGCTAGATCTGCTACTGGTGTACATCAGAATTCCTCCCTGACATCCACGGGTTTACACAATTTACACCAGTGTTAGATCTGGGTCTGAGTCTGGGATTCTTAAAACTGGAAAGGAGTGGAAACAGCAACGTTGTCCCAAGAGATCCCGGCTTCGCACTGGGGCACTGTTCCTGCTGTACCCGTGAGCACCCCAGCACTCAGTGGGAAAGGGAGTGATGCTGCTTGGGATGTGGCTGTGTGACTGGCAAGAGGTGCTGACGTTTCCTTCCTGCAGATTTGTACGGCCATGGCGTTCTGTAGAACGGGGGAAAGGCTCTTGCTGCTTTGCTCTACTGCTGCTTCCCTGTGGGCTTGCCAGAGGCATTTGTTTTCTATTGTCCCATGCCTATGCTGTGAGGTTTCAGCGCTGTTTTTTTCTCAGGGATATTGTTTGAGCCCTGCATGTGCCTTGGCCAGCAGGCAGAGCCAAGAACCCATCATGGTTGGACTGGATGATCTTCAGAGGTCCCTTCCAACCTCGGCCATTCTATGACGGTGCTGTCTGTCAGAAGGGGACCCTGTGGTGTAGGACATGGTGATGCAAGTCCTGCTCCTGGGGTCCTGCTCCAGGGCCCTGTATGTTGTGCAGGGTTGTTTATTTTGAGAGGTGGGATCAATTTTTCCTGCCTGAAAGTCTGTGAGATGTGGACAAGGGATGCTAATGTAGTCATTTGTAAGATGTAGGTGTCCAGGACAGAGTGCTCTAGTCGTGGAGCTCTGAGTATTTCTATTATTTTTTAAAATTGCCTTCTGGATATTTATAAATGTGGGATTTTATTTTATTTTTTATATAAGCTCAAGCTAGTGCTGAAGCACGAGCATAGCCTCCTGGCTGGCAGAGCAGCGATGGTGAAGCCTTCACCACCAGACGTCCCAGCCTTCAAAGCTCCCTGAGCAAAAAGTTCCTGCTCCCTGAGCAAAAAATAAAAGCAAATTCCTGCTGCAGAGAGCAGAATTAGAAGCCAATGGTCTGCAAAGTCTAACAGAGCAGCAGTTTTGCAAGCAATGCTGGTAAATCCCTGGCATGTAAAGTGGTACAGTGCAAACAAGTGCTGCACATGCTTCTGCTGTGAACTGTGTTTGGGTTGTTGAAATTGCACCACTGCTCTGTGATCAGCGGAGGGATCTGGCATCTCTGGGTTTTGTTTATTACAGATGTCCTAGCAGCAATATCTAGCGTGAAGAGACAGGCAGAATTTAGGTGAGACCATCTAAATGTATGTGCCAATGCAGCTTTCAAATGATTCCTTCCTCTCCCCCTTCACTGCACACGTGTGTTGGGGCTGGAGTTTTTGTGTGCTGGCTGCTGGATTCTATTCTATAATCCTGGATTATGCAGTTTGTTTGTTTTTTTCCTTTTGCAGCATGAGTTACTGATTTGTCCTGTTTATGGAAGTAAAATATACTCTCCCTCCTTAGCTTGATTGTGGCTTGCCAAAATAATGTTTGTTTTGTCTTGTTCCACTTTGGTTTTGCTTTTCAGAAGGGCAGGATCGTCCAACAGTGCTGGCAGGCAAACAGCTGTGAGCAAGCTGTCAGGCTTCTCGCCCTGGGCTTTCAGTCAGGCTGGCTGCCTCCAGACTCAAGGGCTTTAAGTTAAACAGATTTGCAGGTAAGTCACCTTTTCGTTGCGTTGTGATTAGGCTTTGCTCTAGTGTGCAAAATAAGTGTTTTTTAATGTGTGTGTTAATATTATGTCTTGGGGTTCACTATAAAAATTTGTCTTCATAAAATTTTAAAAATCGTACTTCTGAAGTCAAAGTTTTAGGAAAGTCGGCAGCAAAGGCACTAAACCCCAAGATCTTACATAGCATTTAAATCCCATCCTGTATTCTGCAAGGAGCAGCTGCTTTTGGAAACTTAATCAGTAGTTTCTAGTCCATTCAGTATTCATGCTTAATACAGCTGTGTTGGAAGAAGAAAATTGCAGAAGAAAAAGAATTGGAAGAGAAAATTGCAGAAAACTGAAAATTATCTTGTATCACAAACCTAGATCCTGATCTCTGAATCATTTCCCTTTTGCTCTGCTTACATTGAGACGGATCAGCAAGAGTTTTGTTTCTTGGCTTTGTTTGGCCTTTATTTATCCCATCTGTATTAAGAAGACTGATTTCTGTGCAAGGCCTTTTGCAAGAAACCTGCTTGCTTTACAAAATCCAGACATGTTCTTGCAGTGAGTGGTTAGCATCTTCAGAATGCAGAAGGTTTCCAATTAGCAGATCAAAGTGTAGCTGCTGTGTTAGCGTGTATGATGCATGGATAAAGGATAGCCAACTTATTTCTTCTTGTACTGTCAGAGAATTTACTCAGATGGTTTTACAGGTATTGCTTTGTGGTGGACATACATCTTGTATCAGCAGAAGAGATCTTCCCCAGTATAGGCTATGTATCACTGTGACAGTGTAAAGCACACTGTCAATGAAGTACTTAACTTGCTTGAAATTGCATCCATACACAGATTTTGGCCAACCTAGAAATATTGATTAGGGAAATCAATCTTTCTCATGCCTGCAGTACAGCAGGCTTGCTAAAACTTTGCAGCACGGAGGTGGTATTTCAGAATACTTGCCAGTTTGGAGCCAAATGTGCCTGCAGGCGTGGGGCAGCTGCCAGCGCGGGGCAGGGAACAGCAGAGGAAGAACGGTTTGCCAGGTTTTAGTCTGAGTCCAGGGCACATCTGCTAGCTGAGTCGTGGGACATCGTTCACACCAGTGTTTGACCTTGCAGCTTTTTCTGTTCACTTTCATTGTAGGAACAGCTGAGATCTTCGTTCTGGATATGAGGTGTGACTAAGGGTCAGGGAAAGGATGAGTTTTGTCCTGGCCTGGATGTGTGGAAGAGAATGAGCCCCTCTTGTGAACAGAAGCTCATTTCTGAGTGCTTGAAATCTGCCAGATACTCAAAACTGTCTTGGTTTCCTGGCAGAGAGAGAAGAGGAAAGGCTTTTCATCCTCCTTATCTTTGGGCCCAGGAGCTCTCATGGCTAAGTAGTGTAATCTTTTTCAAAACAGATTACTGGGGCTTCGCTGTACATTTCAGTGCCTCGGCTTGGCGGGGCTGCTGCTGAGTCTGTTCGAGCCTTGCCTTTATCAAGCTGTCTTCACAGAAGAAGTCTTCCCTCCTATCCCTCTGTTTCTAGCTCAGTATTAATAATGCGTCCTTGGTGGTAAAATCTGTGGTAGTGTGGTCACCATTGATCTGCTGTGGTCAGGCTTATAAAGGGGGGGAGGGAGGGGTTGGAGGCCAGCATCCTTTTTCCCATGCAGCTGTTAGACTGCTGGTTGGGCTTTGCAAATTCACGAGCAAAAATATTGCCTGTGTGTAAAGATAATGTTCTTAAATATGCTTTTTTCTACTTGGACAGAAAGACCATCTGTGGATGCTTACGGGTAGGCGAGTGAACCAGAAGTACACTTAATTGGTGGATATCTGTGGTGGGTATATGTGGTATGTAATGTATGAGTTACCTGCTAGAGGAGGTCCACCGATGGCTGCTATCCCAGCAAAGAAGGAAGCAAATCCCAAGTAGCTGTGGAGTTTTGGCACACCAACAAGATCGACCTGATTGTAAAACCAAATCAGTAATTATCAGTAGGGTTCATGTGAATGAACAAGGCACAAAGCACCTTTTCTCGGGAGTTTCCTTTCCAGCTGCTGTAATGTTTGGGGAGGACTTTGCACATGTGATTTAGCCTTGAATCCGCTCGCCTCCTTAAGGTCGGTGCTGAAATTACAGGGATGCAAGGTGCATTGCTCTCATCCCGCTGTTCGGGCAGCTCCTGAAACTGGTGATGCTGCTGAGGCTTTGAGGAGGCTGGTGTAAAATCTGACTGCATTCCTTCCCGGGAGGAAATCCCAAATTGTAATATTGTTTCCCTATCCAGATCCTGCTGTAACTGGTCTGTGTGTTACAGATAATTCAGGGGTTGGGACTAGATATTCACAACGCTCTGGTTTTGCCTGAGTGCTTGTAAATGAATGGATTCATTCTGGTTCCCAGGAGCTGGAGCCATCTCCTTTAGAAAGGAGGATGTGGGAAGCAATTAGCTGAGTCAAATCACTGACAATCTGCAGCAGACTCTGGGTGCTTTTGTTGCACCTGGGCTGTGCATGCCAGTCAGCGGGCTGGGGGGGAGACTGGGGCTCTCGAGGGGCTCAAACTGGGGGGTCTGGAGGGGAGACCCCTCTGATGCAAGTCTGCAACAGCCCAGGGCACTTCAGCTTTAGGAAAAGGTTGTTAGGTATTTTGTGGAATATTGCTGGAAACACTGTGTATTATTATTATTATTTATTATTATTTAAAGAAATATCCTCACCAGCACGGGGAGCACCAGAGCCAGGAATCCACCACAGAAAATGGCAAAGGCCACAGCGTAGGTCATGAGCAGCGGGAACGTGGTGGCCAGAGGGCAGAGAAGGTTGGTGATGCCGCAGAGCACCAGGTAAGCTGCGTGGTAGTGGTACTTCTTGGTCCAGTTCTGGTCGGCGATCCACCCCGAGAGAAGTTGGCTGACTGTCTCTGTGATGCCTGGGGAAAAGGAGGTCATCGAGCCTCAAAGAAGATTTTTTTTTTTTTTTTTTTTTTTACATTTTTTTCCCTATTTTGTGAAGAGCTGTGAAATGCATTCCGCCTGCCACTTGCTTTAAGGATGTGGCCACAAAGGGCTGCAATGCCAAGAAGCTGCAGGAAGGCATTTTTAGGCTGTTGTAAAATTCATGCTTTTTTCTTTACCTTGGTGCCTTCGTTGCCTGTGGGTGCACAAAAGTGGTATGTAGAAATTCAATTAAGGGCTGTGCACTCAACAGAAAACTCTGAAGTGCCTTCAGTAAAAATAGGAAAGAAAGGTTTGTCACTTGATCTTTTTCAAGATGAAGAAAAAGCAGACTACTGAGAAGCGTTTGTGTGTGTTTTTTTTTAAGAAGCAAAAAAGGACAAAAGCCCAGCTTTTTTTTTTTTTTTAAAGGATCAGCAAACCTTTCATACTTGATTTAACGTTTCCAGATGCCTTTTTATAAACTAAAGGTGAAAGGACTTGTAACTGTCAGCTCTGTCTTGGTGACCCTCCTACTCTTAATTCAAAATGTCAGATGAATGGCTGTGATCTCTTTCTAGACACTTCCACAGCATGCATAATTTCTAAATGTTATACAGCATTGTAGAAGACAAATTTATTTTTGTATAATAAAATATTTTATCATGACTGAGAATGGAGCCACTTTTTTAAACCTGATGTGACTTCATTGTAATGCCTTCTTTATGTTATTATTTTTGGGGGCGGGTGGTATTTTTTTTTCCCCCCTTTCAGGTGAATATGCCAAATCCAAATGGCTAGATGCAAATTATTAGTGTGTTTTTGTTGTTTTTCTCTCCTAATACTGTATTTCTCTCTGCATACATTCCTGGGTCAGACTGGAGGATCCGGATTTCTGTGGGTTTAAGTACAGCAGGGAGATTTGTGGGAAGGCTTGGGAGGACTGCTAGCACCTATGCAATTTGAAACTTGTGTTTGTTCATTGCAGAAGGGATGGGTGATCATCTGGCTTAGGTTGAGAGAACCACCCACCATGTGAGAGCAACTTTGTACTTGTACAGAAGGCGACACTATATATACAGAATGGGGGGTAAGGGCTGTGAGCTCAAGCTCTTTCATGAAGATTTATTCTAGAACACATTTGGGACTATTTCTTGGCAAGATTTGTGTTGTATTTCTTTCCTATTTTGGCATCGTTGTAATTATAAATGTGTTTAAAAGATTCTTTTGCTTACCAGCCACTGAAATGAGGTAAGAAGCATCCATGCTGCTTATGCCCAGCGTCCTGGCTCTTGCTACCAGGTGGAAGATGGGCACGAAGTAGGCCAAGTGGCTGAACAAAAAAGACCATGTAAAAATGCAGAAGAGGGGATCCTTCAAAGGGGAAAAGTCGAGGAGAGGCTGTGGATTTTCTTCTTCGGTCACTGGGAGGGGTTTACAGCTACTCATGTCCTCGCTGGCTATTTCTGGGGAGCTGTGGTCTGCAGGGGCTTTCTCCAGCCCTTCCGACGCCTCCGCAATTGCCGGCCCAGAGATGTTTCCACTGCAGCGTGCCGTGGGTTGCTCTGTGGTGGGCAGGTCCTGTGTGTGGCCGAGCTGCACTCCCGTGCCAGGGGCTTCATCCAGGTGTCTAGCAAGGGTTTCTGAATCTTTTTTTGGCACTGAAGACTCACTGTCATGGCTTTTAGCAGAGGAGTGTTGAGGCAGCTGGGTGCTGATGGGACGCAGCAGCATGCTGGAAGGCACGAGGTTTAGCATGATGCCTCCAAAAATCAGGAGAGTACCTAAGCAAAGACAAAAGATGCCTTTTTTTTTTTTTTTAGATCTATTTTTAGACAGGATGTAATCCATGTTGGATGTGGAGAAAGATGTAAAGAGGTAAAGGTGCCTTGCCAGAGCCGCTATTCTGGCTTTTGGGCTGGAAGTCCCTTTCTTTCTGATGCATGCAAAAAGCAAACAGAATCTGGGGAGGAGGGTTGGTGCATCCAATTTTAGTTTTTAAAAAGAGCCTCAGGTGCCTTCTTCACCCCAAGGAATGTGGAAACTGGGAGATGTGCTCACCTTGCCAGCCATAGGAATCGATGAGAAGCTGTGTGAAGGGTGCTATCAGGAACGTCAGTCCCATTCCCGAGCGGGCGATGGCGTTGGAGAACGCCAGCCGCTTCCTGCAGCGCTTGGCCGTCATCACTGCTGCTGCCTGGTAAAGGCAGCAGAACCCCATGCCTGCGACACGGGTGGAAGTGGGATGTTAGTGCCAGGAAGTGGCTGCTTTGTATTGTGAGGTCTGGGGATTCAGAGGCATGCTGTCCTGAGCTTATTCTCCCTGCAGTGGAAGTGAAAATGAAAATGGGGACCGACTGCTGTTGCTATCAGTGGAGAGCAGGATTTCGGGCATGTTTAGTGACCAGGGTTTTTGAGGCTGTGCATTTTCACTAAGGGATTAAAAGGCCAGGATTTGTGGCATATGTTGGGTCCAGGGGAAAACAAAACAAAGTTAGTGTGGTCTAACATGTTGGAATTGGTATCTTATGGCACGAAGCTTTGGGGTGTCATGCAACATCTTACGGAAAGGGGCTGGTGGCAGTAAAGGGGCCAGTGACAGTGGGGGCACAGCCTGGTTTAAATGAGCTGCTTCTGCTCGTGTGCAGCAAGGTCCCCGTGTGCCCGTCCGCTGCAGGCAGCTCACCCAGGAGGAGTCCCATGGAGATGCAGAGGAAGGGGACGCTGGTGGCCTGCGTGCTGAGCAGGCAGCCGCCGCTGACCAAGCCGGCCCCAATGATGGAGGTTGGCCGCTCACCCAGCCTCCTGCACACCATGGCCACCAGCGGGGCTGTAAAGGAAAAGAGGCAGAGCTCTTGTGCCCAAAAATGACAGCTGATGCTCTGCAGGGCCTGGAAATTTGGACCCTGGAAATCTGGGGGAAGAGGACGGAATTGAAGCCCCGAACTTCCAGATTTCCTTAACCTGTTTCTTGATGCACAACACAGCTCTGTGAATTATTCAGCAGCTGGTTTGATTGGAGATATTCATAATGCTGCTAAGAGTGAGGATTTGCTCGTGTCCTCTATAACCAAGCAGCTACAGCGAGGTGCTGTGACCCCATGGCTGGGGACGGAGGTGCCACCCACAGAACGTCCCGGTGCCCCTTCCATCAGAGCAACCCGATGCTGCAGAGTTGCTCACCTCCCAGGAACCGCAGCGAGGACATGATGGAGCCGATCCAGCTGACTTGCTCCGAGGAGCCCCCCACCTCCTCTTGAAAAGCCACGAAGAAAATGCCAAAGGTCTTGAGCATTCCCATCACGAGCACATTGACCTGAGTTCAGATCAGAAGCAGGTTCGGTGCTGCAGGGGACAGGTGCTACTTTCCTACTGCTTTGTGTGCTCCCTCGTTCTGGATAATTTGTTGTGTTCTGGGAGAAAGAAACTGTGAGGAGGGGTGCAGTGGGTGTTGGGGAATATTGTTAGGGTGGACTCGTGGTGGCCACGTTGTGCTTTAAGCTCACCCGAATCCTGTGCAAAACTGGCTTTTTCAAAGAAAAAGCAAAATAACACCAGAGCTTAACTCTGCTAGTGTGTTTTGCTTTGCAAATTGTGTTTTTAATATTAAATAATAATAATAATAATGAACAGGTCTCAGTGCTATGAAACATTGCCAGCAGAGGATGGGAGATGAGTGGAGCAGGAGCGGGTGTTTGCCAGCCCCATTTCCTAGGCTGGCCCGGTCCCAGGGCAAAGGACAGTTGGTGCCCTTGATGTCCTGCCTCCCTCCTCCTGGGGCTGGGGTTAACGATTGGCAGCTCTGGACCCTGCCAGATCCACTCTGCAGTGGGGTGGAAGGGGGGAAGGTTTCCTGCATGTCCTGGCATTTCTAGCTGTGTGATGGGGTTTTCTTTATTGCTGGTGGGGGGGATCGCCTGGGCTTGGGTGCTGGTATTGAAGCACATGGCATGGGGGTGTGCAGGACCACTGCTTTCCAGGTGGGATTTCGTGGCTCCTGCATAGTTATAAAACCAGTGTGGGGACAGAGGCGGCTCGGGGGAAGTGAGGATGTGTTATCTATCCTTGTGATTGGGGCCCTTGGTGAAAGAGCTCTTTGCTCAGCCAGCAGCAAAGCAGGGACCGCTGTCTGCCTGTCCGCAGTGTGGCAAAGCACTTTCTGTCCCTTAGTGATTGCCTATCTTATTTTGCCATCAGTCGGACAGGATTAGCCTGTCCTGCATGCACCAGACTTGAGACTTTCCACAGACCCCGGCTTCCAAAGGTTTTAGATGAGTTTGTTCTCTGCTTACCAGGAAGAAGTGGAGCACCGCTACCCATGCCCACCCTCCACCTGTGCCTCGGCTTGCGTCTCCCGTTGCTGCCGGTGGCTCTGGCTCCAGCTTTTCCTCTTTCCTTTCCCCTGGAAATGAGAATTTTGGGGTGTAGTAGCTCCTTGCTTTTGCAGTTAACCTGTGAAATGCTTCCCTGAGAGCATCAGCTGCCCTTGAACCCCCTTGGTCCTTTCCCATTGAAGAGGAAGCAGCATTTTGTGTTCAACTTGAGAAAGCTTTTGAGGATGGGTGCGGCTTTTACCAAGCTCTTTTCCAATGGATGTTAGTTGCACGTAATCACTGCCTGCAAACAGCTTAGCCTCCTTTCTCCTTCCTACCAAATTGCTAAAGCTACTTAATATTCAGTGATTTCGAGTGACAAGCACCTCCCTGCTGATTCAGAGCACACTTCTATGGCTTTAGAGCACAGGTTTGCCAGAAGTTGGGGGTTCGCTGTTTGTCTGTTACCAATCTTTGAGCTCTCAGGGGAAGCTGTCCATTTCCCTCCTTTCTCTGCTCCCTTCCTTCCCATTGCCTCCCCTGTGCTGCACCTCCTGTGGTGGGGTTGATAAACCCGAAACTGTTCCTTACCGTCTTGCTGCTGCATGCTGGAAAACCTTCCCTGAAACAGCAGATTGCAAAGACGAAATCGTCTCTTCCTTTGCTCCAGAAATGAAATCCCCACATTGGGACCTGCTGCCCCCAAGTCTAATCCTTCATCTGTCTCCGGTGAGGACAACCGAGGCAGGACGTTCGCACTGGGACTTTGTGGACGCAGCCTTCCTCCTCCGCACTGCCTCCAGGTCAGGAGTCCCTCCCCTTCCCTGGCCGGGGCTCTCACTGAGCAGAAATCCTGCCTGGAGGAAATGGAGCCTCTGGAGGAAAAGCCTGCAAGGATCCAGCTCCAGGCAAGGCTCCGGGTCCTGCTAGACATGGAGTGGAGCAGTAGGTGGCAATGGTGGCCTGAAGCTAAGCCGTGGGCAGCTGGCAGCCACCCAGCCCTTGGCCCCAGAAATAGGAGAGAACCTGGAAAACTTCGTGTTTTACAGCCAGGGTGCTCCGCAGTGGGATTGGGGCAGGAGCTGGAGCTGAGTGCATTTGAGTTGGCTCCATGCCTCTGTTGTAAATATGCACAAACTCCAAGCAAACACAGCCGCTATGCTTCATCCCCCCATTTCGGCTGACCTGTCACCCCGATTGATGTTCCTAAAATAAGACGGCACTTTCGGATCCTGACCATGATCTGTCCCTTCCCTGCCGTGGCAGAGCAGGCAGAGCTCCAGCTCCCTGCAGGATCCCAGGACAGAAAGACAGGGTTGGATGGACGGGTAAATGAGAGGCTGGGGAGAAGCCTTCACTATAGCAGGGCTGGTGATGTGTGCATTGGGATTTTAGTGAAGTAGGAGGGGGTTTGCAGTGCGTATGGTTTAAGGGCTCAGAGCACAGCAGGTCACTGTGGCCGGGGGTGCTGGGGAGGAGGCAGCAGTGGCAGCATTGGGTGCAGTGACTGATCTCCAGATGTCCAGGAGGAACCGCTCTGCCTCCTCGGCTTGAGCCACGCTGCGTGTGGCCAGGGAGCAGATGCGGGTCCCTGTTAATGAGTGCAGTGGTCCCAGGGCTCGTTACTGGGAGCACCGAGTGCTGCTGTGCTCTTCTGTGCTCATTGGAGTGCTGAAAACCAGCCACATGTCCCGTCCCCTTGCCTTTTTGCTCTTTGAGGGACAACAGCTTCTGCTGGCTTTTGGCTATTTAAAATGTGCAATATTACTCTCTTCTGAGGAGATAAGCCTGGAATTGGAGTATCAAACAACAAAGAAAAGGGGGGAGGGAATGATTTAATAGTGCAGAGCTTTGTGTGCTCTGCCTTGATGGTGCTGGAAACACAAGACATAAATGGGAAATGAAATTGCTCAAAGTTTTGGGATGTTCGTAGCACCCAAAAGGGAGGTTTGAGGAGCTGAGCACAGACTGGGGTGCCCGAGGTTGGTGTATTCATTACTCCACAACTCAGGCAGGCTCCCTGTGGTGATTTAGGCACATGGCAGCTTTTCATTTTTGGGACAGGTGCTTGTACTGTAGCTGCAGGACACAGGCAGGGGCTGGCCACGGCTGGAGGAGGTCAGGAAAGCCAGTTCTCAGAAGGACTCTTGAGTTTGCAGGCAGCAGACATCCCTCCTCTCTGCCTGCAGGCTGGGTGTCTAAAACACGGCTGTTCATCCCACAGCATCTTCCTGAGCAGAGTGCAGGTTACTTTGGGTACGGACACCTTGCAGTGGTGGCAGTGCTCTCCTTCTGGAGCAGCCAGCCAGGCTGGGGGGGAGTGCAGATCCCCCTCTGCTCCTGCTTAGAGGTCACGTTGTTAATTGAACTTAAGAGGAGAGCGTAGCCCAGCTGGGCAGGGTGGGCTTGTCCCTTGTACCTGTTTCATTCAAAACAGTGACTATGAGATTGGGAACATCACTGACACGTGCAGTAGTAAAGTCAAAGCAGTGTGAATGCACATTTTTTTTCTCTGACCCAGCCCTGTCAGCTTATGCTTCACTGTGAAGCTTCCTTTCTGCTGTACACATGAGGACAGCTACAGGCGAGCTCCTTTTCCCTGTACGTAGGAAGCATCTGAGCGTAGCAGTTTTTCAAGGGAAAAGCCTTTCTGCAGGATTGTTTTCCTGTACCATTTCATATATAAAGTGAAGAAACACCTGGATTTGTAAGGATGTTGTCAACATCCATTTGCAATTCATGCAGCCACAGCAGGCAGCACAGACAGGGCCAACAAGTTTAGGTTTGAACTTCAATCCAAGACCTAATAAGCAACTCATTCTCACACGGACAATTTAACTACAGGAGGCTAAACATTTCCTAGGAGAAATTCCTAGGAAAGTGTTTGTACCTTTCCCCCTGGAGGACCCTCCATTAATTTAAGTCTTTGTGCATTACTCCTTTTCTCTATAGAAATGCTAATGAGGAACAGACTGGAAGATGTTACCTCACTTGGCTTTTGGGAAGGCAACGGGCAACAGTTTTCAAAGTAGGAGCAAAGAGAAGCAAAGGCGCATTTTTGTAGGTCATTTATTGATTTCTCCAACAAATAAGGCACACACACACACACACACACATGCTTTGTAGTATCTATCATTACACAAGCTTGGTGAGTGACCCACATTTCATCCTCAGCAGCACATGTACTAAAATGCAAATTGGAAACCCTGATAGCTGCACAGGAACTGTTAAATAGAGAGGGCCTTCAGCCCAAATTTGGTACTAGAAGCATGTTTTGCACTGGAGCATAGAGAGCAGAGATGTTGTCCAGTGAGGAGCTGGTCTGGAGTGGAGCATCAGGATGTCAGAGTCAGGATGCCAGTTTGTGCACTGCTACAGTGATGCTGTCATGCTTCTGGATCATGATATTCCTAGAACAAGGAAAGTGAGGCAGTTGAGAAGCCAGCTATGAGAGCAGAAGCTGACTTGGATGGAAAACCAGATGGGTAGCTCTGTGCTAGACCTCTCAGTTGCTGCATCTCTTCCCATCACTCCCAGGAAGAGTGCTGGAAAAGTCTTCACTAACAAAACTGGCAAAAAAATGATACCACGTCATGGGCTAAATTATCCATGGAGATCCCAACAGCAGAAGAATTATCATGCTGGAGTAGCCACCAGCCCCTGAAAGGTTTCCTTCTGCTTTTACAATTCCTGTTATTTGAGGTCCCATTAGTCTAGTATTTCCCATGCCTATTTGTGACTGTCCTCTCCATGTAGCTTTGGAGATGGAGCTTTCTCCAAGTCTTCCAGTTTACTAAAAGAGAGAGAGCACTGCTCTAGAGATTTGACCTCCCCCCAAGGAGATCCCAAAAGATGGGGGCAAAAGTGAATGCAGAGAAAAGCAGCACCCCCAGGCTGGATGCTCACCCGCTGTCTGACTCCAGGCATACCACAGGTATATCGGTTGGGTCGGAGGTGAGCTTGGCTGCCTGCTGGGCGAGGACAGAGATGACGCCGGCGTGCTCATCTGAGAGTGTTCCTCGGCCTGTGAGGCAAGGGAGATGCCGACTAAAACCATGCGCGCACGTGAAGCAGCCCCCACATACAGCCAGATGGATCTGCTCCTGCCAGTCCCCACTGCCCCTCTACGGGCTGACACAGCGCCCCTCCAAACTGTGGCCCCTCCAAGAAAAATTGATTTTAAGTGTCAGGAACAGGTTGAGGTTTACAATTATAGAATATCCCAAGCTGGAAGGGACCCACGCAGATCATCAAGTGCAACTCCTGGCCCCACACAGAATCACCCCCAAACCAAACCCTCTGTCTGAGAGCGTTGTGCAAACACTTCTTGAGCTCTGGCAGGCTTCATGCTGTGCCCACCGCCCTGGGCAGCCTGTCCCAGTGCCCGACCACCTCTGGGAGCAGAACCTCTCCCTCACCCCCAGCCTGACCCTGCCCTGTCCCAGCTCCGTGCCATCCCCTCGGGTCCTGTCACTGTCCCGTGCTGGGAGCTGCAGGCAGCGCTGGAGGTGCGGCTGTGCCTGAGCGCAGCGGGGCGATCCCTTCCCCTTCCCCTTCCCCTTCCCCTTCCCCTCCCCGTTACTCACATCCCAGGTTGAGGCCCTGCGAGTCGGTGCACAGGACGCCCACCACGGCCGGGCTCTTCATGCTGCGGGCAGAGAGCGGCGGTGAGCGCCCCCCGGTGCCGCCCCCCCAGCCCCCCCCCGCCCCCCGGTGCCGCCCCCCCCCCCCCTACGTGTCCTCCAGGTGCTGCTCCAGGGTCCCCTCCATGTCGCCAGCCCCGCGCCTTCGCTTCCGCCCTGCTCCGGCAACTCCTGGCAGCGGCGCCAGTCACGTGACGCGGGCGGACGGTGGCGCCGCGGGACCAAAAGGGGCGCCGAGCTGCGCGAAGGGCCCGTGGGGAGGGGAGGGACCGCGGAGCGACACCGGGGGGGCCCCAGGCCCAGGCGGCGCCGGAGGGGGCCGGTGGCGGGGCCTCGGAGCCGGCTGGCGGCCGCCCAGGAGAGCCTGGCAACAGATCTCGCCTTGTCGGGCTGGAAAATTAAAATGTTGTTGATGGGGGGTGTGCAGTGCAGTGCTGATTCTTCTTTCTTTTCTTTTTTTTAATTAATTATTATTATTTTGTTTTTTTTACATATTTCTTCCCTCGGTTTTGCTGGTGCCCTGATCCCCCCTGCCCACGGGCTCCGTGCTGCTGCCCCAAACAGCCCAGTTTGGAGCCGTGGGCACGGCCCCGGGGAGCACCACGGCAGGGCCCAGCCGTGGCTGCGCCCACCCAGGCCGGGGGCTGCGGCCTCACAGCCCTGCAGGGGCCTTGGCGAGGAAAAACCTCCCCAAAACCACAGCTCGTAGCCCACCCCCTGGAGAAAGGCTTCGGGATTTCTGGTGGGGGCATTTCTGGAGGCTGGGAGTAATCGTTTCAAAAGCAGGTGGAGGAGACGTCAGCAAAGCCGCAGAACAGCTGCCACTTCAAAAGGAACGCTGGGCTTTGGCAGGGGAAATGGCTGCGCTATTTTTAGTCAGTTAAATTGACAATTTAGCGTTGCACTGATGCTCTGCAAGAGAAACCTTTCTAGCAGAGACAGCAGGGACTGAACCTGTAATGTTGTTGGAGAGCCCAGCTGCCGTGGGGGTGGTATCTCGCAGTCCAGGGCTGGTAAAATCTCGCTAACACGATCCAAATCACAAACCCTGCTTCGCTTTCCTGTCCGTGCGTCAAGGAGCTTTACCACAGCCTGGGCTTGTGTGGCCCTGGCCAGTGGGAACGAGCTCGGTCATGACCAAATCCAGGCGGGACCGTGGGAGCCCAGGACCATGCAATGGTCATGGGGGGGTATTTGAATAGACTAACGCTGTTTTTGTAAATCTTGTTATTTCTTGTTGCAGGACTGTGATGGGGGCTCGTGTCACAGAGCTGT